AAAGAAAGTTGCTGATTCATGTATTATTAGGCCCTTTTAAGAAAAATCCCTTTTACTTAAATGAGTTAAAAATTCTTTCCTTGAATTCAGTTTCAAAAAAGGATACTGAAAGAAAGAAGCGATCTATTTAGATTTTAAGTATGCCCAAAGGTCAGGCTGGAAGATTTTATTAATAAAGATTGTTATTTGGAGTGTGAACGTGTTGATTTAGTTTTCCTCGAATTGATGATTTTTGTTCATTTAATAAACAATCAAAAGAGTCAAGGTTTGTCTTTTGTTTCAAAAAGGATTTGAGGAAAAGGCTTATAGACAAATCAGTATTTGTCCTAGCAACTTATAATCTGGCTGGCTTTTTGTTGGAAAAAAACATATTTTTGTTTGACACTGTTCTTAACATGGGGCTTAGATCAGCTGTTGCAGATATGTCAAAGGCGTTACGAATGCATATCCTTATTATGTATAAGATAGGTTTTTGTATTCTCAAAATTATCTTGATGAAATATTTAGCAGGGCGAAACAAAAAATAATGTCCTTTTTGCATATGATTGTTTAGGACAAAGTCTTAGCTAAATGTTGGTTTTATTGAATCTTGCAATAAAGCTGCTACCACCTTCAGAAAGTAATGACCTTCTGGAGTGTTCTATTTAATACAATTCTATTGACAATGGAAGAAACACCGGAGCGTTTAATTGAATATCAAAAAATTTAAATTAAAGTATGGTTAATTAAAAACAGAAGGCAACGCTAAGCAGAAATACAGTCTCTATTGGTAAATTTAAATTTTTGTGGCTTCTTGGTGTGCGGTCAAGCAGAATTTATTATAAGTAGACTCATAAATTGGCTTAAAAGAATTGTATAATTATTCTTCCTCATGTTTATGTTATAATTTCCATCAGAAGTTAAAAAAAAGATTATTTATGGTGGCAGTAAATTTTTACAAGAATAATTAATCGAGTATGTCTAATTTATGATTATGAAAAATTGGTCAAGACCTGAATTGCAATTTTTTCGACGGATTCCTGTCTTACAGGCTTGTGGCGTTGGTTTTTTCAAAAAGGGAGAGTATTTTCACTCAAATTTCCCTGATAACCATACTAGGTCAAAATTACTCAATAGCTGTTCTCGATTACTTGGTATTATTCTGACCCTACCGGACTTTTTTTTTTTGGTCTCCTGAATTCAAAGGTAAGAAAATAATTGTAATTGTGATAATGAGGTTATTTGTTTCAGTTTTAAATTCTGGCAAAGCTAGATGCCCTATTTTTTGCAAGATGGTTTAAAGAGAATTTGTTTTTTTGACGGCCAAAGCTGAATGTGAGATAAGAGCTGTACATTTTTTTTATCTAGTTACGGACAATCGTATATCTGATTGCTTATCTCGTTGGTATCAAACACAAAAAATTTCAAGATGAATTTTTTTCGGTTAACAATCTGGTTTTTCATTTAGATCATTATGAGGTTTACAGCAAGATTTTGCTTTTGTAATGACTGGTAATTCTTTTTGTCTTTCTGGTTTTATTTGCAGATCTGCAATTGAAGACTCTCATACGGAAGCATGGAGAGGACATAGTCGATTTATTTTAATAAATCGTGTGGGAACAACTTATTTGTCGAAATATTTTTTTATTAATCTGTGGGAACAACATGTTTTGTGAGAAAAATCTTTTTTTATTCTGTGGGAACAACATATTTTGTGAGAAAAATCTTTTTTTATTCTGTGGGGAACAACATATTTTTGTGAGAAAAATCTTTTTTTATTCTGTGGGAACAACTTAATTTGAGTAAAAAAAAAATTTTATTCTGTGGAACAACATATTTTGTGAGAAAAATCTTTTTTTTTTCTGTGGGAACAACATATTTTGTTGAGAAAAATCCTTTTTTATTCTGTGGGAACAACATATTTTTGTGAGAAAAATCTTTTTATTCTGTGGGAACAACATATTTTGTGAGAAAAATCTTTTTTTATTCTGTGGGAACAACATATTTTTGTGAGAAAAATCTTTTTTATATTCTGTGGGAACAACTTCATTTGAGTAAAAAAAAATTTTTATTCCGTGGGAACAACTTATTTTGTGAGAAAAATCTTTTTTTATTCTGTGGGAACAACTTAATTTGAGTAAAAAAAAAAAATTATTCTGTGGGAACAACATATTTTGTGAGAAAAATCTTTTTTTTACTCTGTGGGAACAAACTATTTTCTGCGATATTTTTTCAATATCTTGTTCCCTCAAGATAATAAGTTGTGCGAACAAATTAATTATGTTGTTCCCACAACATAATTCGACCAATCAAAATAGCGATTGCCACAAAGAGTGACTGCAAAGTTAAGTCCCTTTTTAAAAAGTCGCCATTTGCACACAATTCATACTTCAAACCCATTTCAAAATACTGTTTAATTAAAACATCTCTATCCATTTTTCTGACAACAAGATGCATGAATTTGATTGGTTGAATTATGTTGTGGGAACAACATAATTAATTTGTTCGCACAACTTATTATCTTGAGGGAACAAGATATTGAAAAAAATATAGCAGAAAATAGTTTGTTCCCACAGAATAAAAAAAAAAATTCTCACAAAATAAGTTGTTCCCACAGATTAAAAAAAATTTTTTCTCACAAAATATGTTGTTCCCACAGAATAAAAAAAGATTTTTCTCACAAAATATGTTGTTCCCACAGAATAAAAAAAGATTTTTCTCACAAAACATGTTGTTCCCACAGATTAATAAAAAATACTTCGACAAATAAGTTGTTCCCACAGATTATTAAAATAAATCGACTATGTCCTCTCCATGCTTCCGTACTCTCAAGACAGATTTAAAACTGTCTAATATTTCAGCATATGCAGAAAATAGTAGAAAAAATTTAAAAATTCAATGGGAATCATTTATATTATTTTGTTTGTATTTCAATTTCTGTTATTTACCTGCTTCAACTGAAACAATTCAGTTATATTCCCAATTTCTTAGTAGATCTTTTAAATCTGTGGCTAGTATTCGAAATTATTTAAGTGGTGTAAGAACTGTTCATCAGTTATTGGGTTTTAATTTGAATGAAAAAATTTTGAAAAAATCATCTATGACATACACTCTATAAAACACTAATTTAAACCAAATGCAACTCAAAATAATACTGACCAACTATCAATAATCCATATTTCCAATAAATTAAGAACACTTTTGAACTTCCTTTACAAAACAAAGCCGCTTAAACATAGACAAAACTAGTGAATATTGCGGGAAAAACAAGGGAAACAACTTCAAACAACAAAAAAAATATATCAAGACACCTGAATTATCAACACTGTTACACATCATGAAAATCCAAATAAGATATTTCAAAACAGATTACATTAAGTTCAAATAATATTGGTAAGTTTTCTGTACCTACTTTTTAGAAAATTTTTGATGCGATCAGCTTTCACATACAAATATAGCGTCGAAAAACTTTGTTTTGGTACGAACTACTTCCTTACGCAAAGTTCACGCGAATGAATACTAATGGATATTTTTTACTGATTATATCCTGAAAACATGCAAATAATATACGATAGAAATAACACAATCAAAAATGAACTACTGACAATTCAAAATCTTATCACTTGTGTGTGACAAGAAAATCTGTGTAGAACTACTTTGCGTTGTTCGGTACACATTCTTCTATTGAAATCCCGCAAATTGTGATAGAACTGTATTCACTGCTAACGCAGCGAATACAAAAAACGATATATTGGAACTACTTTCAGTTACATGGTAAAATGGCGGCCTTTGTGGTGAAAGTGATAATGTATTGTTTCTTTTATACAGTGGGAGAAAGAACAATAGTGATACTTTGAAATTGTTAACAGTCAATTTGCCTTCTAAATCAGACATAGATAAAATTTGCAGAAGTTGTAGGAGAACGTTTCTTTCTCGCGAACGAACACTGCCTTAAAACCAGTGTATTCGTGCTCTACGTACGAGGCCTCTTATCGGAAATATACGGGAATACCCGATGTTTTACGATTAACACTGCACGAAGACCTTGATTTAATATAATCATGTGAACAAATTAAACTGACCTTTATTGCTGAACCACATTAACATTAATTTATTGAAACTCGTTCAGAATAAAAAAATATTCCATATACATTTCTTTTTCTTTAAAAAATTATAAACTTTGCATGAACTCTTTTTATTAATGACTTCCTGAAATTACAACGCATATTAGATCGTGTCTGGTAATTACATTTGCACTAGCACTTATAGGATAATTATATGATTTGACACACACGAAAGTACATATAGAATACTGTTAAGCTATGTAATTATGAATTACATAATTATATGAAGTATTAAAAAAAATTAATTATACTGCCCAAAGGCTTATCTCTGTCAACTATAACAGTAAGTGCCAATACATCTAATATGTTGCCTCCACTTTATATCATGTTCGAATCCCGACAGGGGATTTGGATTCTTTCATGTGAGGAAGTTATCCAGCTTACTTACGGAACGTCGGTGGTTCTACTCAGGTGCCCGTTCGTGCCTGAAATAATGCGCAGAAGGGCACCTTAGGTCTTCCTCCACCAGTAAAGCTGGAACGTCGCAATATGACCTATACTGTGTCGGTGTGACGTAAACCCCAATCAATCAAACAAACAAACAAAGAAACTCTTACAATGTTACAATGTAGAAAGACGCTAAAATATTATTTTAATATTCTTGTAAAACATGGAAAAAGTGTTTGCGATGTTGGGAGGGGAAGGGTTGGGGAAACGATTCACAAAATGTTAACAAAGGGTAATGCATATTCCAGATGGGAGAGAGGGTAACATTATTCTAGCTTTCCAGAGTGAGGCATGGGTGAAATTGTGCATGATTTATCTACAATACGTGAGTAAATGTTCAAACCTTAATGTAATGTTACATTTCAAGAGCGGGAGGGGGAAGATGGTATCATGCTCCCACCCCATCACCAATTGATTTGCCCATGTACATAGAGTTTTAAACTTACTTACCATGAATACCACATGATCATTGACACTATCAAGATACGTTTATGCCTGAAGATATCAAAAATCGTGTATTTTTGTACTTTCAAATCGTTATCTTGACTGACCTCGTCTACTACTTCCGGTTCTGAATCTGAGCGTTCAAAACCATTCTGACGTACCAGAGGACCACGCGCGGCTTGAGCGTTACTATTGATCTGGTTCAAAGCAGTTTGATGATTATCAGCGATATTATGTTCATCAATATCTGCAGTCAAAGGTCCAAGTGCTGTTTGTTCTTTTTCACTGTTATAGTCAGTCATAATCACAAGTTTACTATCAGCATCAAGGAGGCCTCCCCATCCAATCTTCTCCATTACTTCTGTATAGTCTTTACCGTTCCATTTACATGCATTTTTGATAATTTCCTTTGCCCTACCAATCTGACCATTTGCTATGACCCAGCGCAGTGACTCGTCGGTAAACCTGACAACAGTCAAAATGGAATATTGCTCAATAAAAGCTATGAAGGACATGAAGACCATCAACAAATATGTACTAGTTTCTACAAATATTTAAAAGCTAATCGTGTATATATCAACTAACGTTTTGACCTGTGAGCCTATGTACTTTAACCTGAAACTTTCTTGCGATAACAGAAAGTCGACTTGTTTAGATACTGTGCATGCATATATTTCAAACAGAAGACAGATTTAATTTATTATGGTTCGATTTGACGAAATTTAAAGCACATTTGTTTTCATTTCCCTTGTTTCCTTTTTCGTTTTGAGAAACCAGCGTAATAGCCAAGGTGGACCTCGGTTATGCAGAATACACCGTTACAGATGTGCTCGCTTCATTATTAAAAACCATACATTGTCATCAGATAGCGTGCCATTTGCCTACATGTCAGAAATAATTGATTTTTTTTTACATTAAAACATCATATTTTCACTGAAGTCAATAAATGTGATTGTTCCTCGATACGTGAGCCAAGAATATTTCCGAAAAAAGTCAATCAGACTAAAACCAGCTCCCAATTAACGCTACGCATTATGCATTTATGCAAGAAACACTGAACTTTATTCAGATTGCAAAAACAAGTAAAGATTAACGAGTTACAAACCACCACTGGAATATGGACCAGGCGCTACACATAGCATAGGTGATTTGAAGATATTTCCATGGAAAATTGCGAAGAGCGTAGGCTATTGGAGACATTAAACATATCGATGAAGTCCAACATAGTAGGGCTAAAACTTCACAGTAATGACGGATCTCTGCTGGGAGAGTTTCTAAAGAAAGCGTTGTACCAGCTAGAAGACCCTGTAATGTAGAAAACACGAGAACACCTTATGACTGATTTATTTGATTAGAAACTGTTAATTCATGAAGGTGGAATGTAAATGTAATTACTTCTTTACATGAAATAATTGGACTTGAAATGGTGATGTTATTGTGATAATCACTGTTCTAATTAAAGTAAATTTGTTATTTAATTCCTGCCTTTGATGCTATGAAAGAGATGAACATACTTACGTATGCTACCATAAAACCGGTTGGAACCAATTTGAATTTTAAGGGATTTTGAAACTAAATAACTTGAGCCACAAAAAGTATAGAGTCCTGTCGGACTTCACGGAAATGTTGGCGAGTGCTAATCACTTTTGGTACCATCAGGTTAAGGTTTAATCAATGCACATTAAGTGTTTTACCTGTTGACAGAATCCCGCCAAGAAGCGCAAAATCACAAAGACAACATAGTTTCCGCTAAATGCTGTTGCAAGAGAAACTCCAAAAACTGTCACGTGACCCATAACCATAATAGGTTTTCTTCCAAAGCGATCTGTGAATATGTTGTTTATAGTTTAACAATATTACATCTTAACTCATCTTCAGTCATATGTTGGTATGTTTTCATGATGCCAACTATTCTAAGATTTGTAAATAAGTAAAATAAAATAAGTAAAATAAGTAAATTAGAGAACACTAAGTGCACCTTTGTTTTTATTGTGAATATATTACGGACTGGTGGAAGACATGCTTAGAGCCATTTACTTGAAATCATATTGCAATGTTTATGACAGAATAGTTTTTTACATTAAAATATCCCTCAATAATAGTTTTGATAAAATCTGAGCATTTCAAGGAAACGATATAAACAAGAAAGTAACGATCAAAATGTGTCTGCCCAGGAATTAAACTCGACAGAATGTATGGTACATGTATATAAGAATTACAAGATAACATAACATTGTGTTAGCACGATATATTTTGGTTTGATTTTACGTTGCACCAACACAGTAGAGGTGATATGGCAACTTTCCAACTTAAGTGGAAGAGGAAGACCCCAGGTGCCACTCCGTGCATTATAACTAGAACTACCGACTTTCCGTAAGCTAGTTGGATAAAATATTTTATTATACAAAAAGATAAGTAAAGGTACCCGACAAAGTTGGAAATATGAAAGTTCCGATCATCATGCCGACGAGATACAGCACCTGTGTCAGTTCTCCGAGCTCTGCATTCTCACAAACGAAGTTCCACTGTAAATACAAACACACAAACTGTATCTCTTTCCTTGTAATAAATATCCTTATTGACCTTAAAATAACCTTATTTATGCTATTGATAAATGATGCTCGATTCATGCTTAGATACAACAGGGTATGTTCTGTTTTCTGCTCAAATAAAAATTGGAGATAGTTTGACAGGTCCGACAATTGACATATTTTATATAAAGTATAAGAAATGAATCTCACTTCCCCAACCTCTCCTTCTACAATACAGCTCCACACAAGCTTACCAAGAAGGTGGACTAGATACAAATACATTATACATTGTGAAATACACTTATGACAGATATGTGGCTTATTTCCATTTTTCATTGATCTCGCATAATATTAATCATTTTATTATTAAACATCTGGCATAATCTAATGACATGATTTCATATATTTTCCATCATTGCTATATTACAAAATGTTTTTACCTCAGTTACAAACGATTGATCAACCGGAGCGTCATACTCCCAACCATTATCGCATGGGCTTGATGATTTGAACACACCGTCTGACGTGTTTGTATACGTTACAATCATACACTGCTGATATTCCTTATGTATATCTGTTATATTGTTTACCATAGAGTCATTATTAGAGGGTCTGCATTGGAAGTCAGGTCTATGTCCTTGAAAGAAATGATCACAACAGTTAAAGCTAGTAGCATTTAACTTATTTTGATTTTCACCTGTTCACTTACTAGATACCCTTGGATGTGCATAATTACGCTTTAAATCACAAATGATGAATGTTTAGCAGACTTTCTAATGATAGAACCACCCGTTATAGCCGAGGTCAGGAATGTGAGTGAAGAAGAGAGAGAGAAAGTGAGAGTCGCTATACCAAGAATTGGAAACTTATTACAATAATGACATACTAAACTGTTTTGATTTGTTTGCTTTGTTTGCACGTAAATCAGACAACGAATGCGTTGCTTTTTAATTTCTGGCATTTTACGACAATCTCATTATTTATGCGTTCACACGTCAAGGTTGCAGACGATCTTTTTATAAATTCTGCAACGTTATCACGACCAGTACTATTTTGATTAATACTGGCTTCAAATTAGGCTGCTTATAGCATGCGCTATTTTCAATGGTAGTCTTACTAAAAAATCTAGTATCATTAATCAATTCACTAATCTATAAATACGATGTATTAATCGCTTTAAAAGCAGCAAATGGATTAAGTCCTATTTCTTTACACTGGCACATCCCAAAAGGACTCAAGGTCCTCCAAGTATGACCAACATAATTCTTTTTTTTTTAGGCTCCTTAAGTCAATAACACTGTATTTCTAAAAAGACTAATCTAAACATATGTTTCTTCTAAAAACGTTTAAACATCCAAAGTTTTACACTTGGAATACTTCAAGAAAAATCTTTGTTAACTTCTGACAGCTCTTTAAACACTTTAAGACATAGTATTGCGTCATAAAGTGACAAAGTGTTGCAAAGGCACTGTATTGCATACCAAACATTGATATCGAAATATGATTTATATCAGTTGTTAATTAGATCAATCAGACAGAGATAGCCTTTTCTCGTGAGGAAAATGATTATATCATCATGGAAACATTTAACAATTTTATATTCTGTAAACTTACCTATAAATACAATATTAAGCCCTTGAAAAGCCCATGCTATCAGTGATAATAGATACGATCCCATTTGTTTACACTGATATTTCCCTAACGGACCCAATGTCCTCCAGATATGATCAACGTTAGTATTCCTCATTATTTATTTTATTTATTTTACTTTAGGTTCCAATGAAAGTTAACATTGTACAATATAAGTAATACAGCTCAGTCTTCAGATTGCTTTTTATCTATCACTTTGATGAGATAAGTAATAATTGTATACATTTAAACTTTATTATAATCTTGATGCAACAGTCCACAATGACCCCTTTGAAACATGTAGGTGAATATTAAAACAATTTATCATAGTATCCTACATGTGATATACAACGCAACGTTTTGCAAATCTTTTTGTTTATAACAATGCTATCAATATCATTCTTGCATATCAGACAGTTTTATCTACTATTCACACAGGTGCTAGAATAATAATATCTTTATTTTCAATGGAAATTTATATCATTACAGCCGTAACTATTTTCTTACAACAGCGTATGAAATTGCAACTTCATTCATAACGGTTAAATGACGTCATCCTAATTAAGCGTGCCATTGTACAGCACGCGACTCATCTGGCACCCCCATGCCAGATGAAATTTCCGGCATGGGTAAAACACACAGAAACGCCAGTCTGATATGCAAGAAAATCCTGTCTTACACCCGTGTAAGACAGATCGAGTGCCTTAAATGAAGTCATTCCCGAGTGCCTTTTATGACTAAATCGCGTTCTTAGAATGACTATATATTGCCGTTATGAATGAGGTTGTATTAGTTATTGTAATTCCTTGATATGTAATATCGGACACCGACTGTCGTCACACACAGGAAAACCTAGCTCTCAGGTTACTGAGTTAACTCCTTAAACAGTTACATCCGAGCAAGATAATCCGATCTGTACCGGTTGCCGCTGTAAGGTCCATATATTATTATATATCATTATTATAAATAGATTATAAAGATTGCAGACTTAACGCAAAAGGCGAATATGGAAAGTATTATGAATAATGACATAATCTTTAAAATATTGTTAGTTTGGACTGAACATGTATATTTCGAAACGCTTTCACATGCAGTAGTTCTAGTAAGATAGGGCCTATTTGAACTTTTTCTGCAAATGCTAAACCTGATCTTAGGTTTCAAGCAGGTTGTCTGAGTACGACAATAAAATAAACAGCATGATTTGAAATGTAAGGCCCCGTGTTCACAAAGACAAGAACAGGGTCAGGACGAAATGACTAAAATTGCTCGTTTTTTGACACAATTGAAATTTTTATTAAATAGTGCATAAAATAAAGCTGATTTGCACAACATAAATAAATAAATTAAAAATTGAAAAAAAGCAAAAAAAAAAAAACAAAAAAAAAAAAAAAACCAAACAAAAAAAAATCGGATCAAAATAAGGATTGATTTTAGGATGAAAATTAATATTTGAATCAAATGTAAAATGCCACTGTCTTAAAATAACAATAAATGTAAGCTAAAATTTTATGGATATGCTATTTCAAGTCCTGTTTAATCAAGTTTATAATAAATGTTTATGAGGATAAACAATGGGAAATATTTGAGTTTTTAAATTTTATATTGATCCTTATACATCTAGGTAGACGGGGCCTGGTTATTATCTATAATCAAAGTTAATCACCTTTTGAACTATAAATTAAGTGATTTGATATAATTTAATTTGTTCTATATTCTCTTCACTTACCTATAAATACAATATTAAGCCCTTGAAAAGCCCATGCTATCAGCGATAATAGATACGACCCCATTTGTTTACACTGATATTTCCCTAACGGACCCAAAGTCCTCCAAATATGATCAACGTTAGTGTTCCTCATTATTGATTTTACTTTGGGTTCTTTTCTTCTTCGTCAGTGTTGGGTCCCGTATTAAGCAAATGGTAAATGCATCTGAATTATATTATTTCTGTCTTTTTATATGTTAATTAATACAACACCGCTTTATCACAAAACAAGATCGTTTGGAGCAAGGTCATTTCGTGATTTAATTTTAATATCAATAATGAGTTGCATTGACATATATTTCAGCATGATTCATTTAACTTACGCATTAGAAATAAAAGGTTATAAAGCTATTCCTGACACTAAAGTTTATGAACATTTAAAAACAGTAAAACTATGTTGCTTTCACAAATTTCTTGTCGTTTCTTGAAAGATTTGTAAGAAAAAGATATGTGCGTAATTTAATAAAAATTAATTTTGTACAAAAATACTCTGCTGCTACGTTAATATCACTACTAAACGCTGACTCTTTCACGTTTCAATGAGACCCCTCGACACTTTTGGATTAGAGCCATTGTCCAAAAGCTGCAAAAGGTAAACTCTGTTTCTAAAAATATCCGATTTCAAACAACATGCTTATTTTTCAAATATCGAAGAAAACTATGTCATATAGAACATTTTTCGTTTTGGATGCAATTTCGTTACGAATTACCTCAACATGATGTTGCTAGAATTTTTACCAAATATCCACTTGTGTCTTTTTGTTAACCAGGAGACACATATTGTGTGATTTTTCTAACATGAGCTCAAATTAATGTTGACCCACTTAATCTTGCATGAAACAATGTGCCTACCACCCCTTTGGCTCTACACAACAGTTCAGAGAGCGTAGAGCCAACGGGAATGTTAGGATCATATGCACGATAAAGTGGACATGAATTTACTTTATAGTAAAGAAAAATCTCCAAAGATGTATCTCAACGTAACAGAAAACACGCAAGTTAATATTTGGTACAAGTTTTGGCAACGTCATTTTGGATATTTCATATCGATATTGCATTCAAAATAATGCATAGCAATCTTATCCTTCGATTTTTCAAAAACAAGCATACTTTCTTGAAAAAAAAGAGGTATTTAGAAACAGTGTTTACCTTTTCCTCATCTTTGTTTTGATCGATTGTTCTACAGCAGAAGCGTCGAAGTATCTCATTTGAACAGATCATCAAAATGTGAAAGAACAGCCGCTTAGTAGATGTGTTCCAGATTCCAGATATTCTGTAATCATTTTAATCACAATATAAACAATAATTTAATAATTCACAGCAAATATAGCTGTACACACTTTAAACACTTTGTTAATCCAACTTTTTTATGATAAAATTTATATATTTAGCATTATATAACCCTCCGTTGTTTCTCTCTGTGCCTAAATGATGTGCAAATGTAGTTTTAATACATTTTTAAATCGTCATTTAATAATTTGCTCAATGACATTCTCCCCTCAAAGTGAAAAATAAATGTTATCCCACGGTTTCTTCTAGAAATCATGTTACTGTGTGCTTTCGTTTGTTTTTCATGTTTGAGAAATCATGAATTGACAAAAGTTTCGTGGATAGAATGTGCATATCAGCGTGTAATTTAATGGCGCTTATATTTTGTCACGTGACTAGTTACCATTGTGTGATATTTACAGAGAAATTTGGACAAAATGGCGTTTAAATATGTGAATTATTATAGACTATATAACAAATCTAAAATCATGTCAATATTTTCATACAAAATACTGCGTGTTTGTTTTTTCTTGCCTTCTAATGTACTCCGTAAAGAACGTGTTTAAATCAGGTTTTGCACAAAAAATGCCCGCTTAGAGTGTATAAAGCTTAATATCTAATGAAAAAACTATTGTTTGGATATTAAAAAGAACACTTCCAAAATGATTGTATGAAATGAAAATGCAATAAATTGCGTTTAAGCGAGTGGCGCATGCACAAAGGCATTGCTAAACGGATAAAACACTAAAAATAGCAAAAATAATATGTTGCTTTGGAACATTTTATTCTGTTAACGTTCATTTTTCATATGTGTTAAATAACAGAGACATTGTATGTTACAACTTTTTTCGGAAATCAACCATATATTATTGGAACCAATTTAAAATTACTGTTGATAATTTCCATAAAAATATTTCATAGGATATAGATTTATACCCTTTAAATATTTACTGTTAAAAATTATTCTTTTGTATGAATTAACGGTAGGAGTACTAACGAAATAATGATGGTGAAAAAACGAAGGTCAAATGATGAATAGCCGAAAGTACGATAATACAATTTTTAATCTTGATATAATATCGTGTTTTCACCATCGTACGTTCAACCTACCTTTCACCATCGTGGTTTCAATGTTCCGTTATTCCGACTTTTCATCATTGTACTTTCTACTTTTAATCATCTTATTTTCGACTTTTCACCATCGTGGTTTCGTTATTTTGACTTTTCATCATCGTAATTTTTTGTACTTTTGTCCAGTCTTTAGTACTGAGAACAAAAATTCTGTATAGTTATATATAATCATTAAAGTACTATTCTTTTTATTTCACTTCTTTTGTCTGGGATTTTTGGAGCACTGGCTTCTATTCTAGAGGGTTATGAATTAACTATTATTGGGATGCTATAGATAGTATATACATAAATTATTTAACACAGTACGTCTAATGAAAATTTCAATGGATTCATATGCCTCATTATGTCTTAGTTATATGAATCTATACGTATACGATGTTAAGTACATTAATAAAAAACGAAATGGCCGACATTTTTTAACATTACATTTACATCGGCATTTATCATTCGCTCATTGACAATTTATTCAATTGTACGGATGTATAATTACGAAATGTAAACTATTGGTTCAGTCGAATTATTCAATTTTCTGATTTCCTATGTTTTACAGTATATCTATATTTTGGCAAGCTATATATACGCTCATATATATGCTGCCTAGTCTATCTCGATGTATGCATGAATACATTATGTAACCGTGTCAAGCTTCAAGCGTGCAGGTGAATATTCACAAGTTAAAACATATTAAAACACATTGTATTCATGAAAATGAATCGTAAGATTTCAGCATTTTCTGATAGTTTTCGGAATATTTCGTTACTTTCCGTGATCCGATGATCTTTTACGAATAGAATTAGTGTCAATATAACCAACAGCCAGTAAAAATATATGTCCAAAAACAAAACTCAATAAAGACCAAAGCGATTTTGATAAAATATACAATGGGAATATGCAGCTGTTTTATACATAATTTACGGAAGCCTGTTAGTGTCATATAAAGTTAAAACTGGGCATTTCAATATTTGAACCTTTATCTTTGCACTTGTTTGTTTATGATTAAGGTATTTTATATTAAGGTTAGTTTTATGATCATTGATAAAGACGAGGATGAAGCTGACAACGAGTCAAGTAAAATTAATCTTACAGGTAGTCGTATACCGCGGGTATGAAATGGTTTTCAGATCGTGGTTGTATAATAGGAAGAAAAGATTGATATTATGATCCTCATTTAAAAAAAACAACTGTAAAGTAATGTTTTAAAAAATATACACTGTCGCTGATTTTAATGCATTTGTGTCTGATTTGACTAATCTTTAGGTATTCGGTCTGATCAGTGTCTTTCAAATAGAATGCAATTTGAAAGACAAATATGACTGGATAACGTACACTTTACTAAACTGAAGCTGAAGAAAGCATCAATTATCATAAAGTGTATAAGTCTAATTTGAAAAATTTTTAGTCCCCAAAAACTGAAAACTTTATTAATGATATAACTATAACACTTTTCTTATTCGATTTTTGCTTAAAACAGAGCTTCGACATGTTTGTTCTACAAAGGAGCAATGGACTTTGGTCGCCCGTTTTTCAGCTATATTCAGGTATATCTATCTAGGATTATGCTGAAAAATTTAAAAATTGAAATAAAAAGCTGAAACTTTGTATTTCTGTAGAAGATTACTGTGTTGTGAAGGGTTGAAATAGAAAGTAGTAAAATATTTGTTCTTTTGTAATATCTATTGTCAATATATCATTACATATTGACCGACCCTCGTAGTAATACGGAAGGCCTTTGAAAATGCACGATGTCATATTATTTCTATCAGAACATAACAGTTTATGGCTAGGTTATAACTCGAAGTGATATGAAAGTATCATAACATTACGTTATGGTACTATAGAATAAATCATGGCATAATATTACTGAATAAAAACAAACAAAAAAGTGAATGGTTAAGACGTGACAGAATAATGATAAAACTAGTTTGAAACTCGACTCCACCTTAGAATTATTACCAAATAAAAAAAGAAAAAAATATGAATATGAAATATAAAGACAACTACGATGTTATAATATTTGACAAATTTTGATAAAAATCTTTCCTATACCTATGGACAAGAATTAGATGAATTCTAGACGAAAACGGTCAAGAAATAGAAAATGTAGCATGAATAGATTTTTAATAACAAAATGCATGTTATACCTAACTTTCTGAATACCACATATGCAAACATTCACATTGGTAATCAGTGACTATGTTCTAATAAGCCTTTTTATGCGTTTATTGCCTTATTTGTTATAATGTCACGTTATGTCACTTGACACGAGGAATGTGACCGGTTTTACAATTTCCTATATATATCAAACTCTTGTATCATTTTTCTTGTCTCCATCAGCTGCGAGTTTATTTTTTCCAATTTTCAGCTCAAATTTATTCACTCTGTACCATTCCGTTAGTTCTTCCATTCGCTGTGGCAATTCCACACCGTTAGTTTCCGGTACGAAAGCAAAAAGTATAACAGTAACTAAACACATGACAGCAAATACACACGGGGGTAGCCACTGTATCTTTTCTGACTGTAATTAAAAAAATATATTGCAAAGATACCGAGTATCAAAACTGTCATCAGCAACATGTAGAGATAACACAATTTTCATATGTAAGGGGTCTTGGGTTCGACTCCCAGCAAAGACTAACCAACAACCATAAGACAATTTTTACGACGATTTCCACGACTGACGATTAACATTAAGATGATAATTTCGAGACTGGTTATCATGTACCATGTATAGAAATATTATTTTCACCTTGAAGAGAAGTAATGTTGGTGTGGCTGATTACGCCATGGCGTTTTTTTTTGGTTCGAAATCAATCATCTAACTTTGTCGTATTTTCACTCTCAGCATTTTGGCATAAAAACAAAAATTCGATATGACATTAATAATCCACCATAACAATTGAATATTAAACACTTTTACTTAATATCTGGAGGTTTCTAAGAATTATGGCAAGTCAGTTAGAACGCAGTTACTCTCATTCAAGGAATTACGTGTTTTAGTTGTACTTGGATCATGGCTATGGTCCTTCGTATAAAGCCCATAACAGCAAGTCATTTAATATCTTTAAATAAGCTTATTACAGCATTTTCCAAAATGAACAATCGCTTGATTTATTCCAATTATACATAACAATAAAAAAGAAAGAATATGACAAATATTCTGACCACATTCCTTGAGAAAGGGGCAATCATGGAGCCAACCTTTTCCATAAATGAACACACCCCTAATCCAATATTTCTGCAAAACAAATAAGAAAATCATTCTATTTCTAAAAACATCCAATTACTTGCAATTGCACGGATGTGAGTTACATCTTCAGTATATTTTAATATAATCCTTTTGATACACTCGTTAGTCTATTTTCCTCCAGAGATAAAAAGTCCATACCAAATAAAGTTCACAAATGATTGGAAATGATTCTTTAATGCTAATAATTTCAAGCTAAGTATTAAATTTGAAAAAAAATTGCATGTATTTCGGATACCTCATATTAGTCGGATACAGTTCTGGCGTTGTTAGATAAACAGTGTTATACCCAATCGTTATACCCGTCTTCCCTAGTAACATAAAGGCTGTAGCTGCTGATAACATTCCCGTATTTTCACCTAGAATGAAATTAACATAATATCAATTTTACTTGATATTAAATTGTGTTTTTTTATATTATCTGAACAACAATTATTGAAAAATTAAAGTCTGTTTTCATATAACCTGATACATTACTATTTGAAAAAAATACATGGAACTGTCTAATCAGTTAAAATTTTCGAGATTTTCGAGGGATCGAGATTGCCACTGAGCTCATTGAGAACACTGATTATAATTGTTATATAACTACCGATATATAAGGAAAGCGGTAGCCTAAAAGTTAAGGTGTCTGACTCTAAAATCCAGGGATAGCTAGCTCGAGCCCTAATACGGTCACGACCGTGTTTCCTCATGCGATACAAGAACAGGCTAGTCCTAGGAAGTATTGAAATAATAGTATGATTTACGCTTAAATCACATTCGAGTTAAGTATTTTAACTAAACCGATATAAACTATGCAAATTCTCAGCAGAGAGCAAGGCGATATTGGATTATTCGGGAGGCAAATATATTGATTGTTAATGCGATATCAAATCTATTGTAAAACTTTTCTCAGAAAAGAACTGATACGGTGGTTGTTATGAATTTTTATTATCCATAGATAAAGGATCATTCAGCAAAAGTTTCACTGAATATAATAATATATCTGTCTGCATATATCTTTTGTAAAATCTCGAAATAAAACACAAAGTCATTAGTCATCATCTTATTTTTGTTCACTTTATTTGCTTGAGCTACATTTCTGTTGATTTTGAACGAAGTGTTTTCAATACTTACCGGCAGTGTATGTTAAAGCTGTGGCAGTTGCTAGCCCTACAGCAGCTATAAAATGACCAATCACAGCCGTCCATTTTCTTCCAATCCTGTCAATTATATAATTATACTTCAACTACAAAGGTTGATATTAAAACTGGTACATGTATTATAATATTAATAATGAACTATGTCACAATAGTACCACACATTAACCAGGACAACTAAACATTTATAACAATTTTTTCGTATTTATTGTCATGTTATGTGATTCATACTGTTCACGGCTTTCATGTTTCTATCTGTCCATCCACCCACCCATCAATCATTCATTATCCTCTTTCGGGACAATTCATATAACCAGCAATGTAGCATGTCAGTTAATCTTAAAAGGTTTATGATACACCCTGTCCAACCCACAATCACAATCACCAACAAGAGCAACATCAACGACAAACATACCTTGATAAAGCAAAATATTGCAGCAAAGAAGCGGGGTATTCGACTAACGCACTCAAAAAGAAGTTGATAAATCTGTCACCATAGAGACTGGACGAAGATAGATATAGACCGTAGTACACAAAACTGTCACATACCCTGAATTAGAAAAATAATATGATATTTATAAATGTAGACATTCATGATTTAATTGATATGTATTATGTTTTTATCATCATCCTCATAAAAATTATCATCATTATTTTTCGTGGCAGAGTGGTTATGGTCGTTTAGTTAAATAAGTTGCACCTCACCGCAATAGGTTCGAATTCCGCCGGGGACTTTGATTTCTTTCACGAGAGGAAGCTTTCTAGCTTAAAGCTAACGGAAGTTCAATGTTTCTTGTCCCCGCTCGTGTCTGAAATAATTCACTTAGGGGCATCTGACGTCTTCCATTACCAGTAAACCTGAACAAGTCTCCATATGACCTTTACAGTTTTGGTTTTGGTGCGGGTAAAACCCAACAAAACATTATCATCATTTATATCATCATCATCATTATGGAACTTATCTTATCATATTAATCATGTGATGCATTGTTGTCGTTATTTTCGACATCTTAGTGTTCTTAATTCTGACTACTAGTAAAAACTGCCCTACAGAAAAAGGTAACTCTATTAGAAACATCATCATAATTATCACATTTAAACATTTGAGTTTTAGTATCGACCTACCATGTATACCACAAAATTAGCGAAACGATCAGTATCCGCTTATGTTTGAATATATCCAAAACTGTGTATTTCATAACTTTCATTTCTTCTTTGTCATCTCCTGCATCTTGCTTGTCATTATTTATCTCAGTATGTTTTGATACTATTTCCGTACCAATTAACGATTCATGAACAGTGCTACCATTATGAAAGTCGCCAACCTGTTTTCCCCCTGACGAGTAGTTCATGCCAGATATTTGCGCAAAGAAATCGTTCATATTCGCTTCTTTCCTTTCAATAAATGACTTTCTATTTTCATCGTCAAATTGTTTTACTTTCGATGGATCTTCCGTCTTGACAAGTGATTTAACATCTCCGTCGACCAGATCACCCCAACCAATGTCATCCATGACTTCTCTGTAGTTCTTCTTGTTCCATTTACATGCTTTCTTTATGATCTTCTTCGCCTCTTCAATCTTGTCGTTAGCTATAAGCCAGCACAATGACTCATCTATCATCCTAAATTACATCATTATTTCGTAATTATCTACTTTTGTCAATGACAAATTTGCTTAAAATCTTGAAAAGGAGAAAATCTTGAAAAGGATGATTTCTTGTAAGGATTAATCACAACATAATTACATAAAAATTGCAAACTCAGCTTGGTAGAGTCAGTGCATGAGGGATAATGAAAAACAATCATATCTTACGCCTGCTTGCTCCGGCTTGAGCAGTACTCAATTATCAGCAATTAAGAGTGCTGGAATCAATAATCACAAAGATTGAAAAATTATGAAGAACGAAGAACACGGGGAGGGGGGGGGGGTAACTTCCTACAACTGCCACACGGCACTTGACACATGCTGTTAGGAAGTATAAACAATATCAATCTTGCATTATTGCTGGCTGATGTTGATATTTATACAAGTGAAACAAATAATGCAGATAGTTTCCTTACCACCACTGTACAACAGACCACGCACTGCACATGGCATATGTAATCTGTAAATATTTCCATGGATAGTTTCGTAGGGCATATGCTATTGGAGCCATTAGACCGGTAACTGTTGTCCAGAATAACAGCGCCCATACAGCACAATAATGGCGAATTTCCGTCGGGAATGTCTCTAAAGACAGTGTTGTACCTGCCAATAGTCCCTACAATGCAATGATAGAACTGGTTTGAAGGACTGTTAAGCAGTACCGAAAGCTTAACGATACATTTAAAACTGAATATTTATATATTTGTAAAAAAAATATAAAAAGAATGTGTTGTCAAAAAAATATTGCAAAGTACTTTTTATTAAATCCACTGACTTCTAATAAATAACAAACTTCATAACACAATGTAGCTAGTTAAAAGTTCCTGCTCGAAATCGCACATCAATGGTTAAAACAATCTAAAACAATTTTAACATAGAACAAGTTGCAGTTATTAGTTCAAATTTCTATCTTGCTTGCGTTCCTATACGTAAGAATATCGTGAAACATTTAAACAGCAATACACCTTTATTTTTGTTTTGTCATTTTCATCGAATTCCCATATCTCTGAACCATATAAACATTACTGTTAGTCGGAAAAGTGACAATTTTACCTGTTGAAATAGGCCCGTCAAAAATCGGAATATCACAAACGCCACATAATTCTCACTGAATGCTGTTGCAAGGGAAACGGCAAAAAATATAACGTGACAAAGTACCATTACTGGCTTTCTACCAAATCGATCTGAAAGATTAACATCTTGGTATACAGTGTGCGTCTTCGATATTCTTATACATATACATGTAATACATCTTTACAGAACAGCACAATATTTATCACTTACATTATATTCTGAAATTAAGATTTAGTATCCATTTATATATCGTATTAATTCAGCAAACACCATCACTTTCAATGACTTATGTTTATTTGGAATTCGTGGTCAAAACAAGGTTTGGTACACAATTAACCGATCTAAATTCCCCAAGTAGTGCTTATGCTGCTGACTGTTCTAAGCATGATTTGTATTTGTGCCTGTTTGTTGCTGCATGCTAATTGTGGCGACACTTTATTGTTTTCTGTCTTGTTATTGTCGTCTTCAGTAAGTATCATCACTCTCAATTTAGTTCTGTATTTATTCTTGCCCTCTCCCTCTTTCACTTCTCCGGCTCTCTGGTCCCTTTTGTTAGCCTTTCATGAATTGTTTTCTGTAATATCTTTGTCGTTTTTTTTGGCAATTTCCTATTTTGAATCACATGCATTTATATTAACATTCCGACTGTGCTTTGCCCCTGTGTTCTTTTCTAAATTTGTTTGTTTCCTTCTTTGCTCCTTGTCAATGGTTATCTGTTGCTGGCTTGTGTCGAGGTTGCGTTTATTGAATGTCACATTTCCTTATTGATATCATTAGTAAAATGTTTCCTGAGGGCACATTATGCGTCAGAAATTATGGTTTGCTTTGTTTAGAAAATGCAAAAATCTGTTTTTATAATTTTGTTTTAATATTTATAGATCATATGATCAGCTAATCATATGAAACCAAAATAGCAATAAATATGTAATATATACTGTGATAAAGATAGCCACGTACTAATTTCTAAAATGCAAAACACGCAAAAGATGGCTAAAGTATATGGACAATGAGATGCCTTTTGGAAACTTTAATAAGATACTAAAAATAAATAATCTTTTTAAATGAAACTAATGGAATTTAGGTATAACGGGGCTTTAATGAAAGTACTTTAAAATAACTAACCAGAAACTGTGGGTAAAATAAATGTTCCGATCATCATCCCCACCAGGTATAAAACTTGCGTTAATTCACCAAGTTCAGCGTTCTGACAGACGAAATTCCACTGGAAATAAACGACAGCTATTTTTGTATATGTGTCTCCTGTCAAAACAGAGATTATTACCTTAGAAATATGTTCGCCAGTATGTGGTTTAGGATATTGTAATACATAACATTCTCATTGTCAGAATTAACAGCACTTATAGATCTATTATGTATTTAGAAATCGGCACAATTTTGCAAGATTTTGATATTATGTCACATCCTTAATAGAGATAACTTGTAATAATGGCATAAGAATGACGTCTTTTTGTTTTTGTTTGGTGTTAAGGCGTACAAATACAATTTAGGTCATATGGCGCCGATACACGAAAATGTTTTAGTTGTGTTACAAAACTAAAGCAACGCTAGTGGTCAAAGCCACCTCACCACCTAGAGCTAAGATTCCTCCACCCTTAAAGGCAGTCAACAAAAGGAAAAAATTGGAAACTACTAAAGTTGTGACCTTAAGTGACCCAGTGTTCACTTAACACAGTGTATCTTGTCGGTCAAGTTATAAGAATGGAACCTTTCATATATAATCGTTTGTAATCAGTGTAACAGGATCTGAAAAGGTTGCATAGTTGGCAATTTTAGCAAATATATTGGCTTAAACATTGGAACCTCACTCATTTTTTGTTCTTTTTTTTGTAATGATATGGCTGTACGAAAATTTACATTTTAATGATAAGTCATGCTTATGCATGCATTTGTATTAGATGACATATAAATATTTACGATTGTTTGCCGACGAAACCGTTTATCTATTCCTTTCATATAGAGATTACATACCTCTTAACGATCTGACCAACTAAAATATATAATGATAATATAGTAATAGATACTTTAATATTTAAGGGGCATTACAACACGATTGTTTTAGCATTTAAATCTGGTCAAAGAAATGCAAATGTAGGGGCAACGAGATAATAAATGTATAAGTATTAAGACATAATGAGCATTCTAATGCTGGTAAATTATTCAATTATCGTTATGTTACATTTTCGTCTGATGAGAATTGTGATTAATGTCAAAAAGCATCGTTTGCTTCCCACTCCTGGCATATTTAGCTCTAGCAAGATTAAGACAAATTCTGGCTTGGGTATATTAGTTTAAGCAAATAGCTTTTGTCACGAAGGCAATTTTTCTTGGAGGTTAAAATGCATTACAAAATATCAATGTGGCAACATTTTCTTGACAAAAAAAATCTTAACGGCAAATTTTCAAAGGATTTCGTATCAAACTATCATGATCATAGAAATTTAAAGAGTACAAACGCAGCCTAATTGTTTCAAAAATTTATATTTTACAGCAAAAGCAATTTTAAATGAGGTCAAGGGAATCGACACAGTATAACCTGAAAACTTACATCGTAGATATAGACTAACATAAAATACTTAATGAATTGTGCAAAAATACATTCTGCCTACATGCATGACATTTAAACTAAAATAGTACTTAGATTTTAACAATACATATAAGAAGAAGTTACCTCAGTAACGAAAGACCGATCGGCCGGAAGCTCGTATTCCCAAGCGTCACATGGTGTTGATTTCTCGAGTAAACCGCTTGACGTGTTAGTGTAACGGATAATTTCGCACTGTTTGTATTCATTTTCGATCCCAGTAACATTACTTAGAAGGGTATCATTCGGAGAAGGTTTGCAGTGGAAAGCAGGTCTGTTTCCTGAAAATGTTTACACAATTGCAATATGCATTGCTGTCGTAATGAAACAGGAACGTCAATTTGACAAGAAGAAAATAGAAAATACTTTAGTTAACAAAGGCGATGAAGTTTTTATGTCACTTGCGATACATGACAAATGCAAGAATGTACACCGTCTAGAGAAAAGAAAAGGAATTTGCACGCCAGATCAGCCTTATCAAATACATACAAGCGTGCATTGTAAAATCATCTGAAAATGGAAAAGTGAAAGTAAAAGCATGAAATGTCGGTTCGAGAAAAGATAAAAGTTCTTTCTTGGGAGTGTGGAAAAATGAAGAAAAAGACACAGCAACGTCAGAAAGAAGAACATCTCAAGAAAAGGGAAAACATTATGGCATAAAATTTACAATTTGCTTTTACATAAATCATATGAGAATAAATAGGAGAAGGACTTGTGGAATCTGATATTTTGTCACAATATCGACATAAACAAAATGCTCAAAATACATCTTAAAAATTAAGACCGACTTGAACTTGTTTTTTTCTGTTTCTATCTCTTTTTTCATTCCATTCACTTGATATTTGCATTCCGTTTAAGTGGTTATTGTATAGTTCTCCATATATGCATTGCAAGAAATCTTCTATCAGACACGAATGGGAAACAGACGAATGACACAAATATACATGTAAGTAACACTGTTCCATTTTTGTCCTCCATTTTTGTTCTCCAATCCACTGCATTACCTATTAGTTAGTGCATTTAAAATGTTGTATTAATTTATAACTGGTAAATAAGGGTTACAGTAAGAAGTGAGTATTTACCTATAAAGACGATGTTAAGACCCTGGAAAGCCCAGGAAATCAGAGACAGAAGATAAGTCGCTTGCTGTTTAAACTGATATCTTCCTAATGGACCTAGCGTCTTCCATATATGATCAACGTTAACAGCTCGGGCCATGTTTAGTTCCTTTGGCTTTCACATTCGCTGCAGTAGCATATATGAAAATGAACCCTATGCGTTTATCACATGTGAATTTATTAAGATTTAACTACAAGGACATGCACAAGATAGGATACGTATTGCTGTAAACTAAGTTATTTTAAATGCCTTTATAAATTGGTATTTTATTCAAGTTATGGAAACATATGTTGTGTATCCCTTTTATGTGTAAGATAAATTTATCAGTTTAATTGTAATGAATTGTGTTTTATCAAAAAGAGATTAACATATCGTTGTTAAATAGTACTTGAACTGTGATAAATCTCACTTATTTACTTCGGTTTACGGCATATAAGGTTGATTAAAGGCACTTCGCGTTATCAACTATTTTAGTTCAGTAGTGGGTTGAACTTCATACTACATTTGTATTAAGTTCAGCTGATGACATATAGGGCAAATCGTTAAACTAAATAGGAATTGTGATATAATGATATGGAAGGAATATACCCAACATGATTTATTATATCATTGCATTGAATTGTTTATCTTTATAAATAAGTCACCTCAAGTCCGATCAAAATGAGATATAAAACAAGCAAGAAATGAGATACCGATATAATGCTTCTGAAGCAAATACTACAATGAACAGGTTTGAGTCGGGCAGTGTTTTGCTTTTATATACATGAAAATGTATTCAATGAAAATAAAAAGAAATGCATGAATAAGTACTTGCTATAAAAAAATACACTTTGTATAAGAATGAAAAAAAACATGAAATCTCGGCAAGGATCCTCGCTTTTATTTTCCCTATACATCGCATCCGCGGACGTTCTGAGAACGTTCGCAACTTAAGGACGTTGTCATTCTTAGGACGTTGTCATTCTTAGGACGTTGGCATTCTGAGAACGTTGACATTCTGAAAACGTTGGCATTCTGAGAACGTTGACATTCAGAGAACGTTGGCATTCTGAGAACTTTGGCATTCTTACAAAGTTGGCATTTGAGGACGTTGGCATTCTAAGAACGTTGACATTCTTAGGACATTGGCATTCTGAGAACGTTGTCATTCTTATGCTATTGGTATTCTGGAACGATGGCATCCTTAGGACATTGGCATTATGAGAACTTTGGCAAACTTAGTACGTTGGCATTCTTAGGAAGTTGACATTCTGAGAACGTTGGCATCCTTAGGACATTGGTATTCCAGAACGTTAGAATCCTTAGGACGATGGCATTCTGGAACGTTGGCATACTTCGGTCGTTGGCATTCTGAGAAGGTTTGCATACTGAGAACGTTGAAATTCTTATAACGTTGGCATTTTGAGGACGTTGGTGTAATTTAAATTTCCGGCATGGAATCGTTGTTGCATCGACGATGAAAATAGACCTATATAAGGTTACAAACTATTCAAAAACCGCAGAGATCTAATTAACTTTGTCACAAATGTCTTTGAGTAAACCATGCCATATTTGAAACAATAATATATAAACGGATGGACATTTTGATAGTTGTGAATACATGTATAAGGCTGGCATGCATTGTTGATCTTTTTTCAGCACAGAAACGTGTGAATTCATTTTTAGCCAATTTGTACAGAGTTAAAGCAAAAGCAGAACATTTCAGTTAAAGAAGATAGCAGTACACTGTAGCTCCAAGAGAATCCAAAATGATCGAGGAAACATTTTATATATAAATAGCTCTGGTTGACAACTCTGGTGCCAACATTGGATAACTGAAAACGTATATTGACACCCACCCTCGCGCACTAGGACAATTCCTTTCTGCATAAGTTAACAAACGCAAGTTATTTTGATGTAGAGGATTTGTTAATAAATTTAAATTGGCAGTGCGAGACTGCATAATGACTAGAACAAAATACACATGCCTTTTCCGCAAATAAATTTATTAAGAGTCTCAACTTTATATGTAAATCACCTTTATTATATGTGTATATACGATGTGTGTATGTGTATGTATGTGTTATGTGTTAATATCGTATGTGTTATCACTTGCATCGCAGGTGTTCGATACATGTTTAATAATGTAGTCAAAAATTTATGGCATATATGTGGTTTTTGCATGTCAAGCATCATGTTACAATACATATTAAGATAGGAACAATATGACCAGCATATGAATACCTGGTCTTTATACGGTGATATCATCACAATATTCCTCTAAATTCACGTTTTAATAACACATGTACATCTAATTTATCAAACAAACGGAATGTACGCCGCATAACAGGTGTCACATTATAAACCAGTTGTTGGCTATTTTAGGATGACAGCACAGCATAATAAAAAGTGAAAGTGCGCATGCGTCGACGGTTAGTGACATTGCACATCTATGTTGTGTGCGCCATTGCTAGTCTTGGAGATTTTCACATTTCGTTGTGTTGTATGAAATCCAGCCCCGATATGAATGAACTCGGCCATTATAATTTATGATATACAGTTTAATTGACAGGTTATCAGTACAATTTGTGTGGTAACAAGTAGTCAAATTTAGATATATTTATAGATTATCAGTACACATGAACTTAAAAACGCACGCCTATATATATATATATATATATATATATATATATATATATATATATATATATATATATATATATATATATATATATATATATATATATATATATATATAGACTAACTTTAAAAAAAAAAAGATTCAATCAAATGTGTATCATTGATTTTCTTTATAAAACACTTGACAATATTATTAAAAATACTCGTATTGAAAAATGTAAAACAGTGTTTTTACACATGCCTGATAGAGAAAGGGGTTTACAGGCTTAAATATCACTTTGAATGAGCAGAACAAATGGAATCATTGGATCATCGCATTTTGGTGTTCTTTCCGTTTCCTGTGGGTACCCGGGACGGGTTTGCAATGTGTTTTAATCGCTGTTGAGATCTTGATGCAATGTCGTCACTCTCTAGGTTATTGGCGTTGACATTAGTAAAATAGAGAATGGACATCAAAGCGGTGACTTGTTGATAATATATCCCCCCATATCATTCTTTAGGCTATCCAATTTCGATATCCTGGTAGTTCGACATGCATTCTTACCAAGATTGGGACAGTCATAAAAATTGGTTCTCTTTTTTTAAATGAAAATTTGTTTCCATAGGATGCTATTGACCAGCGTTTAACACTATATTTCACTACAAATATAACATTAAATTCAATTTCAAAGAAAAATTAAATTACTTAATTGTTGAACACAGTTATTGACAAGAAAAAAACAGTCATATACTTATTGCAGCTTACATTATTTTATAATATATTGTTAGTTATTGGTTTGCGTATATTTGTATGAGGTTATTATAATGCATTGTTGAGTACATCCGGAAATCTGCTGGGCGAGTACACACCTGTAAAATCTACATCGGACGTGTCGATTTCGGTGTCTAACAACAGTTTTGTAACGGTTTGTGTTCGTATCCAATAGAATCAGTATTGTTCTCATCCATGTTTAATGATCTCGTTATTTCACACCATCAATTTTTGACAGGAAATAGAAAAAAACAGTGTCCCTAAAGAAAGCCCAACACGTCAAAATTGAAAATGTTGCAGTCTCTGTTTGTTTGAGCCTGTTCATGGACGGTACTGGAAAGTGCAAACTACCGTCCACGCCCCCTAGCACCGGCTTAAGCAGAATTCAACATTTAAACACAAAAATGGTGAAATTTTGAATATAGAAACATCCGTAGATGCGTTCATATTGCGGTTATTATGGAACCTTCAATGTGACACAGTAGTGTTATTCCATAAAAAGAGGCGTATGGTACACAAGTAAAAGAATGCATGTGCCCTTAACGAGAAAACAATGGGCGGAACTACATAAAAAGGAATTTTGAAAGGGGATCTGAGGTTATGAAACCTGCATATCACAGATAAGACGTCAAAAGACAAATTAAAAAGCAGGCAACATATCCTAAGGATGATTATATAGTATTCAAGTAGGAATACTGGAACCACCCAAGTTGAAAAAGGCCAAACACAAGAAACTAAAAATACCATCTTAAATGTATACACAACAATAATGTCGTGCTGAACGATCTTCAAGGATCGAAAATATAACATCATTGATTAAATGTACGGGGAGACTTTTTACAGCCGCCACACGGCACAAATAATACGGATGTGACAATGAAATAGAAAAAAAACAGAATCCCTAAAGAAAGCCCAACACGTCAAAATTGAAATGTTTAGGACTTAGATATTTCGATTACAATAAAAAGGATTTTATATGGATTTTGGACTCTTAAAAAAAAAATTAGGGAAAAGGGGGTGCGATATGGATTTGATATGAGCCTTCCGAAAATGAAAACGAGACTATAAGGGGATGTGATAAGGATTTGAAATGGAATTTTTGGACTCTGAAAATGAAAACGAGACCAAATTTTGATAAGATTGGACCCAACAATGTTTTTACTGGAACATCAGTAGTGGGGCAAATGCTGGTGTAGAATATTGGTGAAGAATAAAGTATAACTATTTTTTATTAATAAAAAGGTATCACAAACGTGTGGCGTATTTCTAACATTTTTTACTTGTCACCTGAAAGGCATCCTTTTTATTTGTCTTAGTTTTTTTCACGCACTTTTTAAAAATATATTATGATAACTTCAATTATCAGTTCTAGAATTTCTAGTTTTATTATCAATTCTAGGAAAAGCAATTAAAACAGATTGTTTTCTAAATAATGTTCACTGTAACAAGTTAATGATTATTTAGCATCTACATATGTTCCATAAAAACGTGCATATTTATTTTCATGCATTGCTGTTTTTAAACAAATAGACTGATTACAAAACATGACATAATTCGTAATAATTATAAAGGTTTCTTTTCCGTCTCTTCCCGTTTCTCCACATGTATATTCTTGCCAATTTTCATTTCAAATTTGTTACCGCGGTACCATTCTGCTAGATCTTCCATCGTTTGCGGAAGTTCCACCCCGTTGGTTTCCGGTATAAATGCAAGCAGGAAAACAGTCAATATACACATTGCAGCGTACACACAAGCCGGTAACCATTTCACTGAATGAGACTGTAAAACATTTTAATTGATAAAAAATCCTTACCACGCATAACATATCTTAAATGGACTTGCTAATCTTTCAATCTTGTCACAAGTTCAAAAGCATTATTCAGATTTAGAAAAAAAATTCAAAATATGTACTGACTAAATAGCAAAGAGCGCAGACTAAGATCACGGATGATGATGCACCGGTTGATTTTGATCCACACTGTTTGCAGACTCTGTTGCCACCAGCAGGCTAAAGGTTTAAGTTTAATTGATTCTCTTAAATTGGAGTCTACTACGGGACCCACAACTTTTTTATAAACTTACATATTATATGAACTGGCGCGAAATGAATCAGAAATGTCAGAAAATGATTTATATGTGTATAGTTGCTTGTTTAATTAAGATAGAATATTGATAATATAATCTGCAATTACGAGGATGAGTCACTATGTTTTGCAATATGGTCAATATATTAAATAAAAGGTCAAATTTTCTACAATCTCCTATTTTAACACTTGATATGATATGAATTACAAAATTCCAGATATTTAATCAAATTTTGTGTTTCAACATAGTTCTCCTTAATTATGCCTTTCATTTACTGAAGAATGGCCGGACCAAGTCATTTTCTACTCTTGAAGCAATGATTTGAAAGATGTTGTTTTTCAGTCTTGGAAAGAGAAAAAAGTCACTGGATGCTAACAAACAAATACAGGAGCTACTTTATGTGAAAGAGCGTTGCTATGAAAAAATGCAGGACTTTCATACCAGCCGAAAGACGAACTTTTTTGTTTAAGTATGTTTTTTGTTTGTTTTTTATTTGTTCAATTTGTCTTAATCCGACATCTCTATAATATTTTGATGGAACGGAACGGCTTCTAGAAACAGGAATTGGATAACAGTTCAACATGTATTAAAAAAATAACGTACATAACTTTCTTGACATAATGTCAATCGCCTTGCAATGCATCGTCAACGAACCTTTTTGGTGACCAAAATGTTATTGTTGGACTTGCGAACTGACGTTAAAGGATGTGAATAGGATGGTTATCAACTGTGATGAAGGATTTTGCACTTATTGGATGATATCTGGTATAGATGATTCTGAAGAGTTAAACCAGCATCCATCACCAGTCACAATATTAATGTCATATTCAGGAAACATTTTCAGTAATATTCGTTCGCATTTAACTCGCTTCTTCACTTGGTCAGATGTTAGAAAATGGGGTATCCATCTGGCGGTTATTCACCTTAATTTACAGTGATTCTTCAGAATTGCATGAGGTTTTGATTTGATATACTGTCTGACTAAGTGAAAGTCTGGCATTCTTGTCAATGATAACCTTGTCTTTATGAATGTTTTTGCCAGTTACTATGTTTTCTATCAGACGCATTCAGACATCTTTTAAATTTACTCTTGTCCATTTTTAAATTATACATCCTTATAAACAGTAACATAAGATACTTCATTTATGTCATGAATATTACAAGTATCATTTTCAACGTTTTTTTGCAGATTTTCTTAGTTTTTCTCGACCTTTTATGCAGTATTTCAGCATTTCTAACAAAGCGTTTACTAGTCAGATTTTACAAGAAAGTTTTCTTGTAAGGCATTTTTAAATGTGAAAAAAATTTGTTTGACACATGATTTTGGTATCATTTGAAAGCAGATACTTTGAAGTAAAGCATGCTTTATACAAAACACAAAAACGAACCATAAGCTAAAGAAATATGCATTACATATTGACCCACCCTCGTTTGTCTTTTGACAGAACCTTTTTGATAAAAAAAATTAAAGATGGACATTATAAATTAAAATAACTACCAAGTTAGTACACTCAAATGTGTCACTAATGAAAGGTGACTTACTATATTCCGTGAAAAGGGAGCAATCATTGCTCCTACTTTACCCATAAAAGAAGCGACACCTAGACCAATTGTTCTGAAACAAAATAAACATGTGAAAGTTTGAAGAAGTCCATTTGTCCACTGGCTAATATAGATTTTCATCTTCACTAGAAATAATAATAATGTCCAACTAATAAATCATTTTAAAGGGAATTAAAGCGGTGCACCTCAAGGAGACTCCATTGTCCATGTAGTTTTTTTTAGATGATTGAAAAATTTTCTTCCGAGACTGATATACAGTTTGATGTAGACCAATAACATGTGTGCAAAAGAAAGATCATGTTCTCAGCCAATGCTTCTAGAATAATGGTTTTAATAGTGAAAAATGACAAAAAAAACAACAAAAAAACACACACACACAAAACAACCACCCCAAACAAAAAACAACAACAACAACAAAAAAATAATAGAACTGTTTTCTTATCTTATCGAAAAGGATAAACATTTGATCTGTTGTCACATGGAACTTACCATAACATATTTCAAGTTACTTCCCTTTGGCATAAGACATTTATATATGTTCAAATGAAGTTTAATATACTACCTTACATTGGTGGGGTATAGCTCGGGTGTCATCAGATAAAGTGTACTAAATGCCCCTGTAATGCCCATTTTTCCTATTAATGTAAAAGCTGTCCCAGTAGCTAACATACTAGAGTTGTCCCCTGAAAAACAAATGACATTATGGCCATGCAAGGGTAGATAGGGACTGAAAAATAAGTTAACATTTTGCCATAAGTTCATTTTATTTTATAATTTACATCGCATGAACGATAAATAACTCAAATGTCCCAAGGAAATATCTATAAATATCAATCAAAATTTACCTGTTACATTCCATTTATAAAAAAGAGTGAGGCAGGATTTTTATATTTGAAACATATTGATATATTATCCAAATTATTTTCAAAAATAATTTGTTAGTCAATAACCATTATAACAGTCACATGTTTGAAATATACAGTCAATTCAGTTCAATTTGAGAACAAAAAATAGGCATAATGGTGCAGCATGATTATAAAGTTACCCTTATTTAAATCAAAAGAAGGCTACAACCTTTTTTAAGATTAAGTACAATTATTTCAAATAAATCTAGATATTTCATGTGCTGAAAATGTAGTCTGTGTTATAACAAGAATTAAAATACCTACATTTGGCAATTTAAATGTCCATATCAATTTTTTTATAGCACTTTTATTTAAACAACTGAAAACGTTTTCTTATCAGATTAATAACAATCCTTTCAAACAATCGTATGTGTGAATATTTTAATTTACTTTATCATTTTCTTTTAGAATTTTCTACCGAATAATCAAAATCTTGTGACATGAACATAAATGTTTCCTTATAGTGTGTTCTTATTTATCGTAATAATCATGGAAACATCACTTGTCATAAAATTAGTCTGAATATGTTTCAATTTATTTAATCAATTTAAACAAACAACGGTGCATAGACGATGATTTTTGCATTAATATCATTCATATGGGGGATTCCCAGTCAGTGTCATGCTGGCCGGTGCTCACCTCATCTCCCTCCATAAGTTATATTTTGAAATTCGCCATACGACTATTATAGGTTTGATTTTAATGAACTACCCCGTCCAAAAGAAAACAAATAACAAATACCGGCCGTGAATGTTAGAGCTGTTGCGATTATTAAGCTTAATGCGGCCACAATGTGACATATCAAACATGTCCATTTCCTACCAATCCTGAAAATTCATACAATACACGTTTATATGTACTAATAGATTAGTCCAAAATTACATGTGCTAAAAGGGCAACACGAAAACAGACCCCGTATGTACACGTGTGCTTAACAGACGGGATGCGGCGTGTAAAAATTACGTTTACATTGCCACAACATGTACGGATGTTTATGGTGAAAACTGAGCAATACAATATTTCATGAAAGTAAGGGAAACACCTCTTTTGATACATAAAATATTGTTAAAAATCACGATTCAATAAATTTGGTGCAGATTATTAAGCGCGACATTGGGAAATATCTTGCTGAATGTTTTAAAATATCATGCTGAATGTTTTAAATATGATCGATGTGCTAAATTCACATTTTATCTCAAACTTACACGATTAGAATCTAAAACTAAAACCGTAGAAAAAAGCATTACTTAAATTATCAATATTGTAACCTAAACAAGGAACAAGATGCCAGTTATTTAAGGAATTCTTTAAAAAAAATGTTGAATACTAAACCTGGCAAGACATAAAAACTCAAACAGACATGCCGGGTATTCTATAACTGCACTCAAGAAAAAGTTGATGTATCTGTCGCCATAAAGGTCCGATGATATCATGAATAAACCATAGTACACCAAACTGTCACACACCCTAGAATTAGCGAATAAACCACATTACATCAAACTGTCACACCCTAGAAATTATGAATAAATCATATTACAGCAAACTGTCACATATCCTAAAAATATTTAGTAAACTCTATTACACCAAACAGTCACAGAAATAATGAATAAACCCCATTACACTAAATTGCCACATACCCAAGAAAAATAATTAACCTAAGTAGTCGTATATCACGCCGTCATGTTACATAGAAATAATAGATAAACCATTGTTCAGAAAGCTGTTATGTTTCCTAGAAATAATTGAAAAAAAAACATACTTAATTATCATGACCCTTTACAGCCATGAAATTATTAATGATCAATTAATCAAAGACGGCCCAAATTGAACGAACACATCGAACAAAATATAAAGTTTATTTAGGAATGAGTGTGTTTAACTTTCACAATGTAAACGTATGTACCTTGAAATATTTAGTCTTTAAAACTAACATCGAAAGTAAAAAAGAAAATTGTCGTAAAAATAATTAATATATTTTCTCGATAAGCCATTTTAACTTTCCTTATGCTATAAGATTCCTATTAAAATATAATAATTAAAGTGCGATTATTATTATTATTATTATTATACATATGTCTATAACTAATTATACCAATTATCTATCATTTAATTATAATTTAAGACCCATAATGCCTAAAAAAAGCTATGATTTTTATTTCTCTTTTTTTTATATATTGTAACAGTTTCCAAAAAACACTCATTCGCGATATAGCTGAATAATCTTTGCTCCTTTAGCTTATATATGTAGTGAATAAAAATAAATTTTTGAGGTATAAAATGCCTTTAATGTTTGTTTTTAAAGATTATTTCAAAGTGGTTCTTAAAATAAAAAGTAAAAACTTACCAAATATACCAAATAATTAAGGACACTTTAAGCACAGGCAGGTTTTTGGCAATGTCGAAAAAGGAATAGTTCTTGGTCTGAATTGTCATATCAGTTTTCCCTATGGTGCCATTAGCTTCCTTAAGCTTATCAACTACGCCGTTATCATTGCCATTCAACATTTCTTCCACTTCTGTTGCATCGGCCATTGTAGAGGTGTCTTCTAAATGACCAAGTCCTACTTTAGCTATCAGTTGCTCGTAGTTTTTGTTGTTTAGTGAGCATGCCTTCTTTATTATTGATTTTGCTTTATCAACTTTACCATTAGCAAGGACCCATCGCAATGACTCATCCGTCAACCTGTTTGTATACTATAATTAAAAACGTGGTAAAAATTGAGATGCATCAAAGCTTATGTAATGTAACTGTGTAGGCGGCTGTGTCATTTGTTGAAGTAACATTGTTTAGGATAACCGTTATTTTTCTAAATTATTTAGACTTGTGTCCAGCTTCCGTTTTGAAATGATCAATATCAATTTTGGGGATAACTAGATGAACATTAAAGTACCACAACCGAGAGAAAAGAGCTGCTTCAGACTGACTTTACAAATGACACGCAGTGCTTGCTTTTTCTGGTGACTGCTGAAAGTTTTCCAGTACCTGGAATGGTTTCTGTCCCACCATACGTTTCATAGGTTTCTTAGTATGAAACTATGGCGTCTTACAATAATAATATTCTTCCAGACGTACTTTTTGAATTCTTTAAATAAACCATTGCATTAGGAATTGACATGCAAAATTAAACTTCATATATGTGCAGTCTGTACCGTCCCAATACATGTTGCCTCATAATAGGTGAATCACACTGACCCTGTGATGAAATATTCAAAATTCAAGATAATAAAAGTTATCAATATGAATAGAAAGGATATAAATTGTGTCTCACCACCATTGGAATAAGGATGTAGCACTGAGTATAGCATATGCAATCTGCAAATATCGCCACGATACATTGCTCAAAGCGTAAGCGATTGGTGACATAAGGACTATGGCACTTGTCCATATCAGCAAGGCAAACGACTCGGAGTAATGGCGGATTTCCGCAGGCAGGTTCTCCAATGATAGAGACGTTCCAGCAAGGAGTCCCTAAACAAAACATGAAATTGTTTTTTTTACTTAAACGATATAAAATTGCAGTGTCTAAGAACATTTCGTCATGTAAGTTTGATATTTTTAGAAGCGGAAGTTGCTGTTAACCGCTGCAAAGATTCATTCAAATTATATTGTCAATGTTATCAAATTTACTTGATTAAGAGGTGTAGTCTCAAATAAGTCGTTTAACTTGCAGCTCTCATTCAACAAAGGTTCAAAGTGGTTGTGATTGTTTACATTTATTTGATGCATGTTTTTTTTCAAGTTTTTAGATTCGATGATGATTTCAAGCCATTTTAAAGACACATGTATTTGATGCATCTAATTCAAGTTTCCGCTTTTTCCGATGGCCACCCGAGCTTACTGAAAAACATTCATTTTGTGTTGTGGAATGTTAACATTAAGGTAAGTGACCTTTTGATGAATATTATAACAAAAACCTTCAAAATGAACGTGTACTTATATTTAAACATAAATCTATATACAAGTGTAATGTTCTATTATGGACATGATTGATATCTTTTTGATTTCGATGTTTTCAACTTTTCTACGTCACAACCGTTTTGTTATGTTATGAAACTGATCAGGGGGAGGGAAAAGGGCAAGTGGAGTGCACTGTACGGTACACGCTTATTGCGCATTGTCCGAAATCGACAGTTGATAACGATGATGGTTATTTTTTATTCAACCTATTTTGGTTGTTTTAAATAAGTGAAGATTCGATGACAGCAGACACAAATTTTAAACAGACAAACAATGAAATTAGGAAAAACAGGTATATGATTGTGTTCTGCAAGTTACAGAAACTTCCGGTCTATTTCTATATACCGGTAAAATGCACAAAAGTCCCAAAAGATCATGAAAGACATTTCTTTTTCACATTTACAGTTTTTCTGATATTGTCGTACATACCTGTGTGACAAAACCTGTAAGTACCCGGAATACGACAAATACAATGTAATTTCCACTAAATGCCGTACCTAGCACGATCCCAAAAATAGCGATATGGCTAAAAACCACAATTGGTTTTCTACCAAGTCGATCTGGAAGAAAAACAAATGTAAAAAAAAATGTTTCAGATATTTTATGAACATATCCCCGTGTTATTTTGTATGAAAAATAAAATCAAACTAGGATTAAATCGTATTAACATGGAAGAAAGTTTAACCAAATACAATATTACAATGAATCACCTGAAAGAACAGCTAAGAAATTGTTTCTTCATATATTACAATTAGATTAAATCTCCAAGAAGAACAAACTTTGCGGATATTAAGCAAGATGCAAATTGTTTTTAATTTATCTGCCGACAAAACAATGTTGTGTGTTCGATACATTTATTTGTAGATCACATGATAGTGTTTTGCTAACACTTTTGTTCATCGCATACGCTTATTTTTTATTTTTCCAGCAATTATCGCTTTAAACTGCTTTTTTGTCCAACTTAAGGAAATCAAAATCATTACACCTGGCTTGGCAAGAAGAGGGAATGTCTACAACAGCGCAATGATAATAGAGAGTGAAATAATGAGGCGTATTAAAAATCACTAAATTTCATTTTACAATACAAATTATACATTTGTTTAACTAAAGTACTAGTATACACACCAGAAAGTGTTGGAAATACAAAGTTTCCCAGCATCATGCCAATGTACATCAGTGTATTTGTAAGTTCTGCCAGCTCTGCATTTTCACAGACAAAGTCCCACTAGAAGTTAACCAACAAATCTTCATTATAGTTGAATTTATTAGCTTTATTACAATTATTAGCTGATTATATTTTGTAGGAAATACTTTGGAGTTTTCAAGTTAAAGAGAGGCTCGAAACAATAATGTAGCTAAATATTTTAAATGACCGCATTGATCTTTCATTCTACACATGACTAGCCAACATTATTAGCGGAATTTTTCAGGATATCTACTGACTGAATAGCGATCAGTGCAGAGCATGGTCAGACAGCACGAAAGTGCCCGCAGATTTTGGTATTCACTGATTGCTTTGGTAAATTCTATTGCCGCCTGCATGCTAAAAAGCTTGAGACATTTGAACAATATTTCCCAGAGAAACCATCTTCAATAACCGAAGGGTTTAAATTTTGAGTACCCTTTCTATTATCAAAATCATAAAAGAATATATTAAGAAATCCATATATTTTTTGTAACAATTCATTAAATACAATATTGAAAAGAAACAGCATAAGAAATATTTCAAACGCAATTAATTGTATAAAAATGTAATTTTATTTACTTTTATAACAATTAAACATAATTATATACATGTAGCTGTTATGTTATCATTGTTCATTGTCACGTACTAACCACAAAGTTATAACTTTTTGACGTAAGTTTACTTCTTCGGACAAAGACATTGCGTCTTATTTCTTTTCAGTATGTTCCAAAAAAGGACAAAGGTCCAAAGTTAAGAGATATTTTTATACGTTTACCTCTGTAACGAAAGACCTGTCCACAGGAATACCATAGTCCCAACCATTTAAACACGACTCTGAGGTTTGGACCATGCCCGCGGACGTGTTAGTGTACGTTATTATTTCGCATTCTTTATAAACCTTTTCCACACCGGTGATGTTACTGAGTTGGGAGTCATTCAAGGCAGCGCTGCATTGAAAACTTGGCCGGTAACCTTTAAGTAATCAAATGTAGATGTTATAGTCCTGTCGAGGAATCAAGATTAGTTTTAATAATCATCTTTCTTTTCGATGAAACGAAAATTGTCCTTTCACAACAAAAGTTAACAGTTAATTTGAAAAGACGTCATAGTAAAATTCACAAAATTCAGTCAAATACAAGTACATTGTATTAAAACAAAACACTCTTAGAACGACCCTTGTATACCATAAAATTACCTTCCTCTTATTTTTGATATTATATTGGATCGCCAACGTAGTGAAAATAGGTCAGGAACGTCATACCTGGTGACGTTTATATATAATACAGATTTTCATCCCGTCGGCTGTTTGCATGTTATAAAAACAGCAGCATAAGATAAAGAATTATGTTATAAATAGAAGATAAAGAATTATGTTATAAATAGAATCATAAAGGAACTCCTATGAGTTCAAAATGGTAAAAAACGTAAAATTCGACAATTTTACGTAGATTTATTGGGGCATTGAAAATGAAATACATGTTTATGAAAAGATGATTAAGAAATGTAATGAGAGAAAAAATGAAAATCGATATTTATAGCGACTTTTAACCCGATTTGAAGTAAAAGCAATTTAACAGTTTTTTTTATTATATATCATTCTGAAAAAAATGTAATAAACAAATGATCTATAATTTTGCACGCAAGTAATTGGTAAAGACATACATCAAATGGTTTAAAAATCTAAAAAAAAATCCAGCCTCGCCTTATAATAAAAAACCTTTAAAGAAGTTTACCTATAAAGACAATGGATAGCTGGTGTATTGCCCATGAAATCAGCGTAAAGGTAAATGATAGTAAATACTTCCATTGAAACTTTCCAAGGGGTCCTAGGGCCCTCCAAATATCATCTACGTCAATATCTTCAACACGTAACGTTTTCATAGTTTTTTTTAACTTACGTTAAGTCTACAGCGACATATATTGTGCACATTTTGTACTTGAGGGTAGGATATATTTTATAGGACATGTTAATTAAAATACAGTCATATCCTGTAATATCAGTCATCTTACTGTTTGAAAAAACTCTTGGCGAAAAACCAAAACTACTCTTGAATCAACTTTTCATACCATTTAAAACTATTATATTGTAAGAAACAATATTTTTCAAGTAGAAATAGAAAATGTTATTAATTTGTACTAGAGCAAATGTCATGCACATTGTGTAATTCCAACATTGATGATGAGTGCCACGTGTTTCGAATGTCCTTACATAGTACTGATGATATACGTCATTTTGATTTAAGTTTTACATATGTTACTGCAGAATCAGGAATATGAAATGTGGGAATTGTTGTTTATTGGCATCTTTTAGCCACAATGGAAATGAGGACTAATCGTAAACAAGAGCCATGCTAGCATGGCCATCCCCCGCCGAATGTATTTTCTCATTGGAAGAATGAATATGAAAAAGAGCAGAATTGTTCAATTTTTAGAGGTATTTTGGTAATGAAAACTGATGGCTGATGTGATAACAGATTTGAAACCTATGTGAATACAGATGGCTGAAAATAAGAAAGGGAATAACTGAAAAATAATGCTAGGTAGGCTATCATACTTGTGTGCTGCACTCCTCCTCAATGAGATCTATCCACATATGAAGTTTTAAGTTAATACCTCTTAACACTTTCTGAGATAAGATCCGGACAAAAAGTATGAAAAATAACAAAGGACAATAGCTCAAAAATTATAAAGGATAGAGCTATCATTCTTGCGCACAGCATTCCTCCTCAATAAGATAAATACACCTATAAAGTTTCATAATGACACCTCAAAGACGTTTTGAGTTATGCTTCAATCAGCTGAAATATTAAGTATGAAACATAACAAAGAGCAATAACTCAAAAATTATGATGGTGATAGTTATCACTTTTGTGCACTGCACACTTCCTTAATGAGATATATCCACCTATGAAGTCATGTTAATATCTCAAAGGCTTTTTGAGTTATGCTCTGGACAAAAAATTAAGTTTGAAAAATAACAATGGGCAATAACTAAAAATAATGCTGGGTAGAGTTTTCATTCTTGTGTACTGCACACCTCCTCAATGAGATCTATCCACCTATGAAGTTTCAAGTTGATAGATAGCTCTAACACTTTCTGAGATAATCTCAGGTCAAAAAGTACGAAAAATAACAAAGAGCAATAACTCAAAATTTATAAAGGGTAAAAATATCATTCTTGTGCACAGCATTCCTCCTCAATAAGATCTATCCACCTATGAAGTTTCATGTTGACATCTCAAAGACTTTTTGAGTAATGCTCCACTCAGGTGAAAAATTAAGTATGAAAAATAACAAAGGGCAATTACTAAAAAAATATGAAGGATAGAGTTATCAATCGTGTGCACTGCACACTTCCTGAGTGAGATCTATCCACCCATGAAGTTTTATGTTGATATCTCAAAGGCTTTATGAGTTATTCTCTGGACAAAATTTAAGTTTAAAAAATAACAAATCGCAATAACTGAAAAATAATTCAGAGTAGAGTTATAATTCTTGTGCACTGCACTCCTCCTCAATATGATCTATCCACCTATAAAGTTTAAAGTTGATACCTCAAATACTTTTTGAGATATGCTCCGGACAAAAATATATGACGGAAGGACGGATGGATGGATGAAGACTTTTTCTATATCCCGTGCCGCCTTTTTTTGGGGGGGGGGGGGGAAAATAAAAAAAAACAATTACTGCAATTGGGACAACAGTGGAACTAGAAATGGTCCCTCTTGTCTCATTCATTACACGAACTATTTAACAGGTCGAAACAGTGGTTGATATCAGTTCACAGGTACATACTTTAATGGTTTGACAGTAGATAATATTAAAACTAAAATGTACTCCGCTTTGTCAGAATATATGTTAAACGCTCAATATTTATGCCTGCTCACGGAACCTTGTGTTATACATGTAAATTCATATCATTTATTCATTTTTGTTATCATGAAATTCAATCAAGTGACAATAATGACCGTTGTCTGACCTTGACCTACTGAATACATGTACTTTTGAATATCAGTGTGTCATTCTTTTAATTTGCAATATTTACACCGCCTTCTTATATATACTGTATATATAGATATATGGCAATTTTATTTATATAAAGCAATTTTATTTACTAATCCCTAGACTGGAATAAATTTGTTTGTTTCGTTTGTTTGGTTTTTACGGGGCGTATCAACAAGTATAATTCATTTGGCGTCTAAAACAATGGTTTTTGGCTAAAAAAACCTCGGGTGTTACAACTACTTAATTGCCGTAGCAAGCCAAATCACTTTTGTCTAAAAAGCCTGACAAAAAATAGAACAAGGTATAACCTGAGAAATCTAATTCGACTGCAAAGCAGCCGAGTAATAAGACGCATGGTTTACTTCGGCATGGCACGATTTACTTGGCGAGCCCTCAATAAATTTAAGTAAGTTTATTCATAAGCGAAACACTTGGGGTTTTGTTACAAATCATTTTTTTTTATTTACATTTTACATTTTAGTTAAATTGAAAGACCATGTTTACTTATCTCCTTATGCAAATAAAGGATTGTACAACTGAACTATCTGATATCATTTACTGCGGGTATTTCATCGATATTTTATATCATAGAACCAAGCTAAAATACATTATTTCCATCTTAAGTGGGTACTGTTTTGCAATAGTCAAAACGCGTTGGTTTAAGATGTAATGAACCTGAAACATCTGATTTTTTTTCTACAGATACGAATATGTACCTTTATAAACTAGCAATTAAGTTCCTTTCGAAGAAATCTAATTTTTAAAGTTTCTTAATTGTTTGCTTTTAAGATAATTGGGATAGTGATGTATGGACGTAGTTCTGGCTACTAATACTTTAAAGCCGCTTCTTATGTTTTGTTGATAAAGCATTAAAGGCATCAGACTTTTTACCAATCTAACCAGAATATAAAGCTCACGTGTGACATTGATTCATTTTACTTATTAATAAACCGCGTGAATTAATTGATAAAGAAAAGTAATAATATTATTATTATATACTATAACATTATATATTATTATATAGAAAACTACTTTGCCTACTTGTCCGCCACAAAAACGCTTTGAAAATTCGACATGCAAACATTTTTTTTCAATTCTTCTTTCTGCATTGACAATAAAACAATATGAACTTATTTTTATATTGTTTGTAACAAATGGCTTATTAAAAGTAAATGATGGATACAAATCACATGGTTAAATTCTCAACAATCAACGCATTTTGACGACATTGATAACCATCAATTTTATCAAGTTGACGGCGGAGCGCTAAACTTTCAGAAATGTCTGAACTTTAAAGGCTTATTTAGCTAAGGGCTTTATTGATGACGTCCTTTGCTTATTTAGAGTTATTATCGTTTAATCGGGATAAACTTCATTCCCAAGACATGACACCCAATGCAAGATTCCGGGCACAATTATTTGTAAGTTTTTCCTACGGCTTTAACTTAAGCATACACTTCCCGTCACTGTTTAAAACGACTAGTAGTATGGAGGTAATAGACTTTCCGTGTTGTAACAAAGAAGAAAATCATATAACGCAATGAAGTACAACATTTTCAATTTGTCTGTGTTGGGCGATGTTCACAGTTTCTGCATTTCACTTTAAATCATTTGTTTTGACTTCAATTATTTTTATACACAGACGTGAACTTTAAGTTTTATGTATTTTCGTTCGAACAAAGAATGTTTTACGAATGATACATATTTCTGAAAATACCATGTCCCTTGTCAGCAGCAAAGTAAACTATGAGACATTTTATGATCTAATTAAAGTATAATTAGCTAAAGTTAAGTTTTTCCTCAAAAACCAAAAACGCCATGAATGTCAAAATATTCATTTAGTGCTCACGTTTTATCTTCAATTATGTTCAAAGAAAACTTTTGTTTACAAACAAGAATACAACAGTTTGAAATAAGTGTAAACTTAGTTGTGTCATATGGCAGATAATCCATAGCCGTAAAAGTATTGGGATCAGTTTAGGTCATCATTTCCCTTTGTTCAACGTAAAATGCCAAGGCGAAGAAATTATAAGCCGAAGCAACAAAACGGTATCTCGAAACTATGCTCTGTAGGGGCGGAACACGATACGCGAATTTGGAATGAATATTGTAAAATTGCATTATCTTGTTGGTCTATTGCATTTCATCATATACACTTGCCGATTTTGCGACTCGACTCGGTAAAATGGTATTGCACTGCCGTGCATATATTTTGACGTGACGTCTTTAGCGTTATACAAACATAGTGTAAACACGCTCTAAATGTTAGCGTTATACTATAGACAAGTCATTGAAAAATGACCCTTATTTCACTTTGAACTGTCTTTATTTTGGGTATGTAATAAATAGAATATTAAAATTCATTACTGAATCTATTGAACTCGTTGAATAAAATAATATGATGCGCGCCAGAGGCTGGTATAATATAATTTTATTCAACTCGTGCAAAAAAATCAGTTTTTAACTTACACTCATTCAATATTTTTTATATATTATCTCCGCGTCACTTCGGTGAATAACCTTGTCTGTTCAGTGTATTTTCTCGTCGCATTGTCATTCAGGGTATAACATAGGTCTCGATGTGAGGAAATTATGGTCAAAACAGAACACCGTATAAAAGTCTTACATTTGAACTATAGGTACTGTAAAAACAAGGCAAACAAGCAAAACATACTCTATGATATTTAGGATTTTTTAGACCAAATGAAATACTCAAAAGCAAGGTTGGTTTTCTTGTGGCATCAGACCGAAGAATGTCCCGAAATCGACGTCGTGAAATAACTTCCCATTTACAGCACAAACCTATTATCAATGGTCTTATCGAAGAAGATGACCTATGGGTGTAACACCACTTGGCATCTGTCATCGGTACTAGTTTATTACTAGCCGTCTAGTAGATATGCATTTGTCCGTATAGCAATAGGGGAAATA